AAATCCATAGAAAACATCATCTACACACAATTATAGGTTGCTTGCACTTTTAATGAAAAAAAACAGATATCAAACATATATTTTCTTGCAGCTTCAAATTTTAAATTTTCTAAGGCATCTATTTATTTTTATAGCAGTAAATCATTGTTTTTGTATGAAAAATGAGAAAGACAGTATTAGACATGTATTTTGTATTTACACAGAATGTGCTTTTATAAAAATCTTTCATTAACACTAGAAAATGTCATAAGAAAATGAATTTTTTGTTCTTCTCGTCTTTTTTTTAAACTTGCCAAAATGAAAGCAAAGTTATAACATAAACAACTTTCTTTTCTAGTTTCGTGGCGAATAATCGACTTTCGAACATTTGCATATTCTCTCAAGAAAGATGGGTGCTGGGTGCTGCGGTCGTAAAACTCAAGTTGTACAACCGATACCTAATCATGAAATTTACAGAGTCAAAAGTCCACCTATAACACGTAAACCTGAGACTGTATTGCCCAGAAACAAAAGTCCACCTACAATGCGAGACGACTCGACAATGCAAGGCTTCTCGAAACCTGGTATTAGCACAAACAATCCTTCGAAACTTATTGATGGTTATATCAATGAACCACTTGTGTCTCTTGAAGAAGCACTTCAACCTTTTCATGGTCAAATTGATCAACTAGCTTATTACATCAAAGAAGCTAAAACCAAATGTCATTATCCATCAGAACATAATCTTACACGTGATGAATCAGCTGCTATCTATATTTATACAATGAAATGGGACAACAAATGTCTCTATGATCATTTGCAAGAAGCATGGAGTTTTGAAGATAAATCTCAAATGAAACCATGGTTCAAATATTTAAGATTATTCAAAACTGCATGTGACAAATTACCTGACACGAAGAAAGAAATTTGGCAAGGAACACCGTTTGATGAAGCACTCATAGAGAAACTAAGTACAAAGTCACCATCACTCTATTCTTCTATGGGTCCATGTTCACTATCGTCGAGGGAAACTGAAGACTATCTTCGAAGAAATGGTAATGCAAAGATAATTCTTATTGGCTATGGATCTGTCAATGGAAAATCAATAGCTGGTTATTCAGCAAATCCACGAAATGAAGTCATGTTATTTCCTGGTGTGAAACTGGGTTTAGCAAGTTACAATGTGATCGATGATAATGATTCATTGACTCTACATCTAAAAGGAGTGACTAGTAAGTAGAAAAGTAGTATAGGCATACCATTTTCTCATTGTTTCTGTTGAGTTATTTTATCTATAAACGGAGTTGTTGAGAATCTGTGAAATTTGAATACATGAAAAAAAAAATTTCTTGATAATAGACTATAGATTACTGACTCTACATTTATTTTTAGATTCTACTGCACCAGTCAAGAATAAAAGACCAAGATCTGAAAGACATTTCGTATGCCCGCATACTGTTCGTAACTGTTCACTTGTCATGCAATATTTGATTGCGTTAAAAAGTAAGACGCTGTACTCTTCATCGAACGTCATTGCTAAACAAAAATTATGTGTGGCAATCAAATTTATTCTTCTTTCAGACAATCGCGTTTCCTTTTTGATTATTCTTACACGTATTCTGAGATGAACAAAATATCTGAATACATGAATCGTTGTCGTGGTAACCATAGTCCGTCTGATTGTATTGGATGTGTTTTTCTTTCGAACTCATCATTTATTCTTCGATCATCTATCATATGATCAGTTTCAGAGCTTTATCTTGAAAAGTGTAACGTAAATGAACAAAAGATTGCCCATGTTTGCGTACATCATTGTGGTCCGATGTACAACGATTGTCCGTAATTCATGTAGAAGTCCACGATGATGAAATTGTTTAGAAACTTTTACATTTCAATGAAAAGAATTAGTGAATGAATCATGAGTGCCATAAATGTGGTGAATATAAAATTAATTCATTGATGATGTGATCTTTATTCATCTGAACAACTTCGAATCATTATTTTAAAGGAAAAAAATAGATAAACATAATTTTTTTAAGAGTGTGCGTGAATGTAAGAGATGTCAAAGTCGTAGTAAGTATTTAACTTTCATGTCATCATCATCAGTCGATCTTTTGTGTCCGATCTGTTTTAATAGAAAAACAAAATAACTGAAGAGAACTGTTATTGTGACGAATGTTGTCTTCATGATCATTCATTTATTATTATCGTTGCGATTATAATATGAACAATAGAATATCTTTTTTGCAAACTAGTAAAATAAATGAACAAAATATTGAATAAATGACGGTCGAATCAAGTTTCGTCATGGATGAGTGATACTTATATACCAAAAAATGGCGTTGTAAAAAATATCAGCTAATGAGTAGATATCGGAAATCTATGAAATCAAATGTTGGTTGTGTGTAATGTAGATCCAAATCTATATTCTATTGGAAATCATGCGAGATAAAAGTATATATTTCTTCTTCAGCATATCGGAAAACATCGAAAAGATGTTAGCGAATGCATAGTCTGGCGAGAAAATTTTTTCATTTTGACGACTTTTCCAATGAACAACAATCCTAGAAACAAAAAAAATTGTGAAACTGAACTATCTATATTTTTGTTGTGACAGTAGCTGATTAGTTGATATCTATAGCAAAACTGCTTTACTGTCTGATATTTTATCTTAGCAGCATTATTTCATTGTCGATTAAATAATTTTCTCACGTAGTCTCAATCAGACGAAGTAATCGTCTTATCTTTAACTGTAAAATTCATCTAGTATGTTTCAAGTTTGAAAAAAAGTATTGCTCAGCTTTTATTTGTACTCTGAATTGTGATTAAGCATTTTAAAAAAAAACAATTTTGTATTGATGTAGCTTTTACAAAACTATTGTATTTTATTTGAGTTTGTCAAGCAGCTTTTTATAATCACATTCCTCTTCTCTTTCTTTCACAATTCACACAACTCTGTCTTGATCGTTTTTTTTTCTCGTAATATTTCATTTTATTATTATTTTTTCTATCGAGAATTGCGCTAGTCAAAAGACAAACATAGGAGGGAATTCGTCTTGCCAGGTGACATCGCTTGATTTCTCAAAAAAAAAAAGAGTAAAGACGAAGAAAATGGCTGATATGTATTGAAGTATGTGAAGAAATAAATGTAACTGTTTCTATTTACTCTTCTTACAAAAGAAAAGAAAAAATGTAATTACAGATTTCAAAAGGTTGATGAAAGATTCATATGTCTATATGAAAAGACTTAGAGACGATTCGATTGAATTTCCTTCTCACTAATTCCTCGTATTTTACCTATCCTTGAGGAACACATATCACTGGTATAAAACAAAACCATGTTGACAACAAAAAGAAAGGTCATAGATCAAGAGATTGTGAGAAATTTCATTCAAAAAATACCAAAAGATTTCAAGGAATTTAGTGAAGCATGGAAAGTCTATTTCATCTAGTAATACAATCGATCCTGTTGTTTGATGATATGGCAACCATTCTGCATTCAACGTACATGCAGTTGTAGAAATATTGAACAAGTTCTACCAAATCGGATCTAATTGACTAAAGCAGTTTGCTTATAAATTCATACATGACTGCGCTCTCTAGCATTTCCTCGTCCATTCTAAAAAGTGATTTTAAGATCGATGTACTGGAATCTTAGTCAGGTGAAAATGAACTTAAACAATTTATCTTTCTTTTCTTACATCAATTAAAACAATGCTCAAACTTGTCCAATCGTTATTGAATTCGCCTAGTTATTTACGTCTATTAGTTGAAATTTTCAAAAAAAAAAAGACACTCATATTTTTGTTACTAAGTGTAAGAGACATTAAATTGATCATCTGCCTTATTTGAATTTTTAGAGATTAGCGAATACGAAACCTTGGAAAAGTTCTTCTCATTGTTTATCTTTAAATATAAAGCTGTGTGTAAGAAGATACGCTAAATTTCTACTCAAAACGAAAAGTTTTTTCATTGATTTAAACTGCTCAATTTTCTCCTCAGTTTAGTATCAGAAAACTGAATCGGTTTCATCTCGTCACCATCTCTACTTGTCTATTAAGAATAATGATCGATAAATATTTTCTACACCAAAAAAAAAACAGTAGTAAATTTATTGGCAATGCCTTGACAATCGACTGAACATAGATCATGAAACAGTACGACTTATAAACATTTTAAAAATTCACATTTAGAAGTATTGAATAAAGTTCATTCGATTGAAAAAGATTTTTAACGACAAATAAATTAATATGACATTTGTTATAGCCATATATATCATCTAAATTTCACATTAATTTATACATGTATGTTTGAATAGTCGTGTTATTTTGTTTCATTCTTTATTTTATTTTATTTTTTCGTTAGATCATTGTAGTAGAAACAAAAAAAAATGAAAATTGAAAGCAAAAAAGAAAAAGAAACACATAAAACGTTTTACACGTGTTCACCTTGATTATTCTTATTGTTTATATTAAATGGCTAAACGATGCTTGATAGAGACATGTAAACGTGAAGCCGAAACTTATTGTTATCATTGTTCAAACGATGTATGTACTAAACATTATTTAGAACATAAAAAATCGATTCAAGAACAGTTACATCCACTTGTTGATGAGATAAACTTCATTTATGAACATATTCATTATGATGATAAAAATAAAACAAAATCTATACCACAATATTTAATCAATGTATACAGTCAACTTGATAAATGGAAAACTGATTGTTATCATCATATCGACATTGTCTATCAACGAATTCGAAGTCAAATTGAGAACATTGCAAAAAGTCATCAGCACGAAGAAACTCAAAAGACAATTCACAATATAGAATCACTAGAAAAATTGCGTCAACAAATCAAAGAATTATTGAAAGAAGGTGATGTGACATATAGACAACTTGAAACAATGAAACGACAACTAGAAGAACTAAAAAAGAAAGAACAAGAACCAATTAAATATCCAGACATACGCATAATAACTCAAAAAATCGATGTAGAAAAACATGTTAGTGTTACTACTGATATCAAACATTCGACTGAAAAACAACAACAACCAAGAAGTCCTCAGAAAATATCTCCAAATAAGTAAAAACAATCACCAGAAATTTAGATGTTCGGAATAAAATAATTTGATTTATGTTTTTGTTTTATATAGAAATTCGTTTGTACATCATCGATTTGTCGGATGGTCTTCCTCTGGACAAACAATCGAAAAATGCCCCATGTGTTCTGAAATATTTCCTTTATCGATGACTATGGCTGATCGAACTGTGCATATAAATGATCATTTACCAGATTGAATTCATTTGCATCAATATACTATGTTTCTAGTGTTGCAGACCATTAAATTGATCCGAAAAATAATTATAATTAATAGAATAGACTTTCTATGATAATTCATAATCATGTTGTGAAATATTATGCGTAGCTTAATGTATGATTTGGTGGAAAATTTCTGAGGCCATGATTTTGTGCATGAGTTTTTTGTATGATTATGCATGATCTTGAAATAAGATTTGATACGAACTGACGATTTTCTGATATGGGGATCGGTGTGTGTTCATGAAGAAGAAATTGTTCGGAAATTTTGTATATAAATATATATTTTTTTCTGTCCGAAAAGATGTCTACAACATCTTGTTCAAAAGGCAAAAAGCAATTTTGAAATGAACTTTTCAAAGGAATCGAAATATAAATTCTATTTACATGCGTCTTATTGCACTGCTATCGTGTTTTTCTTCTAATACGAAGAGGTGTCATATTCAAGACAATCAACATCATTTAACGAAATGAGACATTCGTTATAAGTATATGCAAGTTGATGTATTCCATATTAGATGAAATGGGACGATGTTATATGTCGAAAATCAGTGTCATTTAGACATGTTGACACGTTAAATTTTTCTCATTTGTCTATGAGAAAATAGTCTCAAGAATAAACTCTCTTGATGTTTTCTATCAGAACATTATCTAACAAAGATTTCTTTCGTAATTCAAATTCTTTCCATAAACAATTTTTATTAAGTAATAAATCAGTCGAAATAAAAAGAAATCTGATAATTGATGTACTTCTCCTATTTTACATAATCAAATCAAAACAAATGGAGTCGACAAATGATATGTTATAAAATAAAACTTTTTTTTTGTAATCTTTTCCAATGAAATTATTCCAGAATGATCGCATTAAAATAATTGATTATAATTAAGGCTATGATAATAAAATAGAGGTATTATTCGGCATCATTAATAACAATTAAATGCTGAAATATAATCGCAGTGTTAAACCTCAAGAGAAAACTGTAACAAAATATGATTAAGTTACCAAGTCACCTATGAGTCTGCCAAAAAAGGTTGACAGAAAATTTTAGAAAACCCTCATAAGTTCGAAGCGTTCGACTACAAAAAACCTTCCTTTAAAGTCTATAAAACAACGTTATAGAAATCGAGCGATGCCACTGTTCTATTAAGTGCGCCATCATCATTGCATCAATAAGCAACATTTTAGTAAATACTCTTTTTCTTATTTTTATTCAAGATCCTTTATTTCATTTCTTTCGAATAGATTCAAAATTTTATTTATATATTTCAAGATTCGGATGACGAGCAGATAATGCTTATTGTCCAATTTCAACTGCACGTTTATACGAAGCAACTGCTTCCGAATAGTTTTTCATGTTTGCATATACTAAACCAATATTATTATATGAAGTAGCCAATAATGGATGAATTGGTGGAAGATTTTTAACAAAGATTGCAAGTGCTGTTTTGCAAAATGAGAGTGCTTTCACATAATCGCCCATACTATTATATGTCAAACCGATACTGTTGCAACAAGTGGCCACATTTGGATGATCATTTGAAAGAGTTTTCTTGTAAATTTCGAGTGCTTTTGAATAATCCTTTATATTATCATATAGTAAACCAATGTTGTTATAGCAAGTAGCTACATTAAGATGATCTGAAGAGAAATATTTGAGATATATTGTAAGTTCATTTTGATAGAATTGAAGTGCTTTATTATAGTTTTGTTGATGATCTTTGATTTGTCCCAGTTGATAATAGAGATGTCCTTTCTCAAGTTCATCAGATATGCGTTTGCACCATAGTTTCAAATATTTCTTCCGCTTTAACAAATTCACCAAGTTTTACCATCAATGTACCTAATCGATACAATGCTGATGGTCCTTGAATTTCTACTCGAATGCATTCAATTAAACTATTGAGTTGTTGATCACCATCACTTGTCAGTGTAAGATGGATGTACCAGAGTCGATGGCTGGTGCCACTTGGTTTTATATCATTAATACGAAAAATAATCTGCATCGAAAATAAAATTTCTTTTTCCATTGTAAAATAGCTGACGTCATTGATACTGGCAAAAGGAGTCGATAACATTGATGGATTTACATTAGTAATGAAAAGAATACCGACTGACATGAGATCAATTAAATAATATATCGATGTAGATCGCAAATGAAAAATGCCATTCTTATGATAACATTGAATTCTTGCTCACGAAGAGTCCAGTTAAGCATATGATAAATGAAACATTCATAAGTATACCACCATATAGGTGAGTTATTACTATATTCTTGCTGATTATTAGAATATTTATTGCGACAATAAGTAACTAAATCATGAACACTTTGATCATTATAGAATCTTCTTCATATTGATGTGCTACTTGTTGTAATGATTAACATAAAATAGTCATATTTTTAGAAATACCTCAAACTTTGAGCCAATTTTATTTCTAATGATTTATATTTTGACTTATTTTCACAAAAGATAAAAGATTGCTATAAGCTGAGACATGTTAT